ATTTTTTATATTCTTAGTAGAGACGGTGTTTTACCATGTTAGCCAGGATGGTCTCCATCTCCTGACCTTGTTATCTGCCTACCTCAGGCTCCCAAAAGTGCTAGGATTACAGGTGTGAGCCACCACGCCTGGCCCAAGAACTTTTCTTTATGTGGCTTATAGCTATCAGCATTCACAATATTAATTTTTTTTTAACTAAGCAAAATTTTAAATGTTTATTAAATTCTAAAAAGTAATGGTAATGCGGCCAAGCACAGTGACTCTCATCTGTAATCCCAGCGTTTTGGGAGGCTGAGGTGGGTGGATCACCTGAGATCAGGAGTTCAAGAACAGACTGGCCAACATGGTGAAATCCCTTTCTACTAAAAATACAAAAATTAGCTGGGCGTGGTGGCACATGCCTGTAATCCTAGCTACACAGGAGGCTGAGGGAGGAGAATTGCTTGAACCCAGGAGGCAGAGATTGCAGTGAGCTGAGATCGCACCATTGCACTCTAGCCTGGGCAACAAGAGTGAAACTCCATCTCAAAATAAAATAAAATAAAATACAGTAATCCCATTTTTTTTTTAACATGAATAACATATTTTCTGAAAAATAACAATATTTTCCAAAAAGGTAATGAAAAGCAATATTGCTTTACGTATTTATAAAACTCTTCAATGTCTGGCATAGAAGACAGCTAAATTCTCCCAACTGCTTCTGCATTTAGTCTATTGCAATATATTAATTTGGCAGTATGTGAAGAAATCTGATCTCACACAGACATGTAGCTGGAAAAGGAATGTCTATGAATTTAAAATATTCTCTCTTTTTTTTTGAGTCGGAGTCTCCCTCTTGCCCAGGCTAGAGTGCAATGGCATGGTCTCAGCTCACTGCATTCTCCACCTCCCACGTTCAAGTGACTCTCCTGCCTCAGCCTCCCAAGTAGCTGGGATTACAGGCGCCCGCCACCACACCTGGCTAATTTTTGTATTATTAGTAGAAATGGGGTTTTGCCACATTAGCCAGGCTGGTCTCAAACTCCTGATCTCGTGATCCACCCGCCTCGGCCTTCAAAAGCGCTGAAATTATAAGTATGAGCCACCGTGCCTGGCCTAAAATATTCTTTTCTGGTATTATACTAAACTTATCAATAAAGATAAGTTACAATGCGAAATGTCGAAACTTATCAATGAACTTTTTATACTGTTACATTCCATTGGTCTATCTTGCATTTTGAATGGATTGTTTACTTATGCATGATTTTGTAACACTGTGCATTTCTAATTTGAAAAATACTTGTTCACCAAATTATGAAAATCTTCCAAACCTTGACATGTTTCATTATACAATGTATGTATAAAAAAAATCACATTCATTAAAATCAGCACCGACCTTAGCAGAAAAGTCTTTAAAACCTGTCAAGATCATGGGAGTATATAAAAGTTTTCCAAAATTATAATTTTTACTGGAAAGCTTGAATTTTGTCATTAGCAATAAATACTGTCAGTTGCTTTCCTAAAAGCTCATTTCATTTTTGAGAAAATGTATGTCAAATAACCAAGTCCGAATAATCATAGCTTGTCATTTTTTCAAGAAAACATGGTGTTACATAGGAAAGATGGCCAAGTTCAGTTCACAACTCAATTGCACAAGTGCTTTTCCTTGAGACAACTGCTGTACTTCAGTATGCAGCAGAAAGGCTTTGTGTATGCTTCCCATCTAATCACATAGAATATGAAATAGAAATGTATTCAAGACTTAATAAAATTAATACTTTTTGCTGCTTTGTTAGGAAAATTCTAAGGTAAGCTGGCTTTCTTTTTAACCACCAAGTGCATGCTGGAGAACAATATAATGACTATTAGTAGTTTGCTGCAACTGCCTTGATTTGTGCTCCACCCATTTGAACACAGTGAAAAAGGCAACTAACATCTTAGCATTATTACAAAAACAATTTTGACCTCATGGACCCCTTGAAAGAATCTTGAAGATCTCCAAGGTCTACAGACCACCCTTTAGGAACTGTTGTCCTAACTCAAAGGGTGGTTATAAAGATTAAACACGATGTTTAACATCAAGTGCTTATCACAGTATCTAGCATATAATAATGGATGCACAATAACTGGCTACTTACTATAATGATTATGTAACAATTCTATAAAGGAGAATCAAGCACTGAATGAGAGACTATAAGTCCTCTCAAACCTGAGACTCTATTATGATCAGATAAGTACAAACTTAAAAAGCAAACGTGCAGTTCTCTTTGGAAATAGTGTGACCCCAAGAGAGTTGGGTAACTCGTATAAGACTACATATGTAGGTTGTAGACTTTAAAAGACTCATTAGGCTGTGCACAGTGGCTCACGCCTGTAGATCTAGCACTTTGGGAGTCTTGAGGCCAGGAGACTGGCCTGAACAACATGGTGAGACTACCATTTCTATAAAAAAATTTAAAAATTAGCTGAGCTTGGTAGCACATACATATAGTCCTAGCTACTCAAAAGGCTGAGATGATCACTTAAGCCTAGGAGATTGAAGCTGTAGTGAGCTATAATCACATCACACTGCACTCCAGTCTGGGCGAGTGTGAGACTCCATCTCTCTTTAAAAAAAAAACAATTGGCTGGGCACGGTGGCTCACGCCTGTAATCCCAGCACTTTGGGAGGCCGAGGCGGGTGGATCACGAGGTCAAGAGATCGAGACCATCCTGGTCAACA